GCTGAATTGGAGCTTAATATTGGTCTCTGTAATACAAGTTTGACATTTAGAGGCAGCAGTAACTGTATTTGCTTCATTAAGTAGAAATATAGGTATTAGGCCAATACATAGCTACCAAGGCCATGCCGTTTATATGCCCATCATGACACTCCTGGTGTTTAGTGCCTTTCTGGTTATGAATGTTTTCTGGTGGGTATTAATATGTGGTACAAAAATATTAACACTTTGTACCTACTCCCATATGTGGGAATACCCACATGCCTCTACACCAGACCCCCTTGTCTCCAATGTTTTAGTACTTTTCAGGCCCCTTACCAGAAGGCCAGAAGGCCAGGTTATTTATTGCCTCTCAGATTTGAATTCACTATTCAATACCTGCTCTGCAATAATGGATTGAATTCTAAATATTTTATCCATTACAAGTGAGGGTGATGCTAAACCTTGCCATTAGAGGACACCAAGAGGCACATTGAGGAAAGAAGAGATTCCTCTGGAGTGTATTGTGTTTTACTTTTGCCTATTCCTGCTGCACAGGGAATGTGAACATGGATGTCAACTATTACTAATATGAATGGAAAACAATATATTCCCCAAATCAGTGGCCACATACCATGTGCTTGAGATTTTATTAATTGCTTCCAGAAGTGATACTACATCTGACACATTGATTGGAATTAGGTATACAGTTGACCCTTGGACAACATAAGTTTGAACTTCTCAGGTCCACTGATATGCAGATTTTTTTCAATAAATATATGTACAGTAGGGTAAATGTATCTTCTCTTCCTTATGATTTTCTTAACCACACTTTTTTCTCTAGCTTACTTTATTGAAAGAATACAGTATATAACACATATAACATACAAAATACTTATTAGTCAAGTGTTCATGTTATAAGTAAGGCTTCTGGTCAACAGTAGGCTATTAGTAGGTAAATTACGGGGGAGACAAAAAAGTTACACATAGATTTTTAACCATGAAGAGGGGGTTCAGCACCCCTAACCCCGTGCTCTTCAAGGGTGAACTGTATTGTTAGATACGGCAGCATTAGTCTGATCATTTATCAGGTTCCATCTGGTTTCCGCCAGGACCAGACTGACAAATTAAACAAAAATATGATGGATACCACCACCCCTGCATTTTAACAGTGATACTAATTTCCACCACCTCCTGTCCCCAAGATATGTTTGGTTTTTGTTTTTGAGTATAGTTGACACAGAATATTATATTAGTTTCAGGTGTACAACATGGTGATTCAACAACTCTATGTGTCATGCTATGCTCACCACATGTGTAGCTAACATCTGTCACCATACAAGATATGTTGTTTTTGATTTACTATCTTGGCCAGTGGGGGATGGTGTGAGTCAGGGGTTTACTTTTGGTCTTTTCTACTAGGAGAGCTTTTACTCCACAGGTCAAGAATTCAATGTGGGATTACTCAAACTGTATATCAATTCCAGGTATGCAATAGAGAACTGGGGAAATGACCGATGGACTTATCTATAGACCCAGGAGGCAACTGTGAGCCAGACTTTAGCCAAGAACCAATTTATTACCTGGTTCTCCTAGGCTCAAATCCAACAGGTGCTGATGATACTTTGAGTATCAAAATCAACCCAGAATTTGTGTCAATTGTCCTCAAAATATATTGTCAGTCCCCTTCTGCCCGTGTATGGACACTTGAATAATTGGTGTTAGCTTCCTTTAGGGAAAGACGGGAGGAATCATGACAGTTTATACTTTCCATGGAGTTGAGGATCTTCCCAACAAGGAATCAAGCCATATTCTCAGTCCATGTTTCATATCTAAAAACTGGTTCAGGTCTGGGAACTGACACTCAGGGATTGTGATTTTTTACTGGAGAGACAATCCTTGGTCTCCTGTTGTTCTTGCTTTCTCTTCATTATTGATGTAAGCAACTCCCTAGTTGGCTGCCAGTCTATTTTGCATCTAAAAAGCCTCAGCCCTCTATTTACTGTCTGCAAAACTACCTGTGAGTCAAGTCCCTTTGGCTGTTCCTCCACCCATACTGTTCACAACGGTAATTATGACCTCTTGGATTCTGACAGCTAAGCATTACCCGCCGGCCAGCACATCACCATCTGTGTTATGATAGGATTTAATCCTAAGTATTGGCCTAGGAGTCAGAAGAAGAGATGGGAAACTCCTACGGGATAGCGGTGGAGGCACCTATTTATTGCCTTGCAGGGAAGAAATTTCTGCAGCATCTTCAAGCACAGTGGCTTCCAATCACTGAGCAGAGGAGGTGGGTGTAAGAGAATCAACATCTTCAGTGACATACATCCAGATGTCCTCTTTCCTGTTTCCAGGATCTCAGGTTTTCCCCACAGCACCCTGACCTTAGCCTAACAGAGCTCCTTTGGCTGAGTGTTCAGATGTCTCTGGGACTTGCAAGTGTAACACATAGATTTTCTGCCTGCCATTCACCTGTGTCTGACATGCAACAATGTCTGATAAAGGCCTCTTTATAAGTACCACTGGCACTCTATGGCTCGTAGGTATAGGGAGTAACTGCTTGGCAACAGCCTCCGATCTCTTATCACCCTTCTAGAGGGCATCAACAAAACTTAGCAGTAATCAGCGAACTCCACTGACTTTAAATGCCTGCTTTATTGCATCTCTACTACCACATTCTCCTCTAGTGGGCTGTTTTCCCTTGTCCCCATGAAATTTTTAGAATTGTACTGCCACTGTGCTTGCTTCGGCAGCACATATACTAGAATTGTACTGCCACCTTGTGGTAGGGACTATCTGCGCCCTTTTTTCCAACGAGGATCCTGTCCTCCTTGCTTCCAGACCAAATCCATATCTTGCTACCAATTTACTTATAACACTTTCAGTATTACTTGTTTTATTCTGGATCTTCTGAGAAGTAGATGCGAGGACAGGACTAAATGCACATTGATTTTATTAGGAGGAAAGCCACTGTGAAAAATGGGGAGAAAGATGAAAAAGCTGAGAAAGCTGGCCGACATGGAGTAAGTCCAACCCCAAGGGAAGGCGAGAGGGAGATAAAATTGAGCAGTAGCAGCCTGAGATTCGCACACTTTAAGGAGGATCTATTCAATGTAGGGAAGTTTCAGCGGGACTGTTGGGGAGTTCTTAAGCCAGAGGCAGCTGTCAGAGGACTCCTGAGTCATCCAGGATGGCCTTTCTTCATATCTCTATCAAGATTCTACTATTGGTTGGAATCATGGGCAGGGTGGCCTTGACAAAAATGTGCAGCAGCTCAGATCCTTTACCATTCATGCTCCTTGTAGTAGGAGGACTGCAAGGAACATTCTTGTGGCTATCACTCATGACACTCAGTTTATGCACATATGTGCACCCAGGGTTCCCAACTTTTAGAAATGGCTATAGGCCTTGTCAATGCAGCAATGGCACCTTTCCAACGTCCATGTACCTCAGAAATTTGTTTAGCATCCAACTCACAAACTAGCAAACTGATACTACAGGGACTTGTGAGTGAAGGGATCAGAGGGAAGACTTAGCCAAATCAATGACCACAGCCTTGTCAGAGGGTGCTTTGGAAGGTCTTCCATCCTGGGACCTATGGCAGGCTTATATCAAGTCACAGATGTCACAACCTTAGTTTTTTCCATTTCATATGTGGTAGGGACAGTAATGCTCACCAAATATTCCACAAGTTCTCCTGATGTTTTTCAGCCTCCTTTTAAGTTAGGGTTATGTGACTCGATTGAGGCAATGCACCATGAGAATTAATTATTTGTATCACTGCCAGTTAGATGTATAGTGGACAGGTATGTGTTTTCCACACTTTCTTCAGTTTTGTTGGCAATCATGGAGTCATGTGTTAAGAATATAGAGCTGCAAGACTGAAGAAGCCTGGAGGGCTAGTCATCAAACAGAGGACAGACTTGGCTGTCCAGAAAAAGTACTGTACCAAAACCTGCCTGCAATAGACTTTAAGCCATGAGGAAATGGTGTTGCATTTTGATTTCTGAGAACTTACATCTATTACTAAATGAAGAGTTCATACGACAGTGTATCAGCATAACAGCACATATTTTGACTGATACAGAATTACTAAGCCCTGCATTTCCTAAATAGGAATAAATATCCTCAAAGTATTACATGACTGCATGATTTCCAAATTTTCAGTGGCCTTTCACATAATTTGTATGGAATTATGAGTAATAGAGATGTTTTCCCCAGGAAACACAACATTTTATTTCAGCAGCACCCACCTAGCTACAGCATCCATCTCCTTTTCAAATCCAAAAACAAAATAATTTTCCTGCAAGACATTTCTACTCCATCTTTGCTGGATCATATGGTAGTTTGAGTTCTAATTTTTTGAGGAATTATCGTAATTTTTTTCTATAACAGCTTCACCATTTTGTATTCCCATCAGCAGTGTGCAACAGTTCCAATTTCTCCACACCTTCACCAAAACTTGTCTATTTTTTTTTTATGAGAGCAAAATTTCTTGCCAGCTGGTATGAACTGGCTCTAGCACACCACTGCCAAGGTTGCTGGTAAAGAGGAAGATCCAGGTTCTGTAGGTCCCAAACTATATAAAACTTGATGAACTCTGAGAAAAAGAATACAAAATTTAAGGATCTAACTTTGAAAAGAGGCCTATTCAAGTAAGTGGCCCTGATGCTTTTCCTTCCTTAGCTCCATGATAAATCTACTCTTGGTAAACAAGTGTCTCAAGAGGCTAAAGTAGATATACAGCTTTCAAAGAGGAGAAGCAGTTAACAAGAGGAGACTGAGTCAGTACCACTGGGGCAAGTCACAGGCTAGCTGAAAGCTAGGAGTTCTGAAGAGGAGGGAGGTTGGACCGAAGGAGGAAGATTCAGGTCAACCTAAGGAGCATAAGGGGAAATGGGACCCTCTATCCTTGGGTCATGAGACTGAAATAGCAGCGCCTCTTGGCATCATGAGATGAGGATCTTAAGCTGCTTTCACCTGATTCAGAGCCTCTTCTGGATTCAAGTTGCAGTGGATAGGGTAGAAGTTGATACTGAAAATACAGAGAAAACATCAGACATAATTTAGGTGATTCAAGGGCAGATTATTTATTATTTCATATTTTAAACCCTCAGCAGTGACAACAGAGATGAGGGTGAAATTATTTTTCCCTTCTTGGTTTAGGTCAGTTTCTGATGACTTATTTGGTAATGTCCTTCTTCCAGGCCAAGGTTGTTAGAGACTGTTGCTGTAAGAGAAAACAAAATAAAACACAACACAAAGTGCCACTGTTGCTTTATTTTTTCTTTTTCTTTCTTTCTTTCTTTCTTTTTTTTTTTCTTTTTAGCACTAATATAGGTAATTTAAAGGGCATGGTTAACTGAAGGGAAAGGATCAGGAAAATAAAAATTAATTCCAGAAAAAAACAATTATCTGTTACCTCAACTGTTACCTCAACTCTTAGTTTTATAAAAGAAGTGTCTTCCTAAAATTCCCTAACCTGCTCATTTGTCTATATTTGGAAACTATTTCGGTCAATAAAACAAAGTGCCTTGCAATTTCCATTCTAAGTATATGAACTAATTTTAATTTAGAATAAAAAAGAAAAAAATGTGATAATTCTAAGTAAAATATAAAAACACCAATATACATGCACACACCCATGCGTGTACATCTATATATTAAAATATTTTAACAATATGATCTTCAGTGCTAAGATTAATGATTATTTCATTCTCTTGAATACCTATATTTTAAAATGAATGTTTATTTCTTGTTATAATTGTGATAAGATGCAGAATGATTCACACACTCATATACACATACAATTTATTGAATGAATTAAGAAAGGATAATAAAGGCTAGATCTGGGTAATTTCTTTTCTGGGATTTAAACTGAGACTATAATTGGACAATTGCTCTAAAATGTTTATTTACATAATAATGCTTATTATGGGGTGTTTGCTACAATGAAAAATGGGAAGTAGTCTAAATATTCATAATAATGGATTTTTAAAATGAATACTAAAAGTAAATAATTAATTAATTAATTAATTAATTATGATACATCACAAAATGACATGGGCCTATATTTTAAAATATGCAAAGTTGTGCATAATACTTTTTAATTAAAAAAAGTATAAGTATTTTTATGTTTTGCTTAGAAAAACATTTAAAAAGATATGCATCTATATTGTTAATGGAAATTTTCTTTGGGTATTGCAATTACAAGAAACTTCTTAATATGTATATCTACCAAAGTATCTGAGATATTTTAAATAATATTTGATACTACATTTAAAATCAGAAAGATGTTTTTTGAAAATAAAAAGCTCTATATTTTATTCATTGTTAGTAGTAAAGTTTATCTGGATACCATTATTTGTTTTTCATATGAATTTCAGAAACTTTTTCTCAATTCTCCCTATCCATGTATATAAAAAAATATTTTTATTGAGTTTATGTTAAATATACAGAAACCTACATACACATAGATTACTCAGTTGGAAGAGAAGAAGTTAAGATTTAAACTGAAAAGTATAGCAAACGGAGGAGGGGAGGAGCAAGATGGCAGAGGAGTAGGAGACCTAAATTTCTTCTGGTCCCAGGAATTCAGCTAGATAGGGATCAAACCACTCTGAACACCTATGAACTCAACAGGAGATCAAAGAAAAGAAGAGCAACAACTCTCTGAACAGAAAAGCGACCACTTTCTGGAAGGTATGATGTGCAGAGAAGTGAATCCGAGGTGATATTCGGGAAGATAGATGGTGGGGAAAGGGGCCTCCGTCGGCTGCCTCTGGCAAGTGAGAGAGCAGTGGAGCACAAAATCGGAAATTTTAGAAGTTGGCTCCGGTGTGGGATGTCACTCCAGTGGCTAAGCGGGGGTGGAACCCTCACTGAGACAGTGTGGTCTCAGGACCCTTGGGGTCACAGAAAGACCAGGAGTGCCTGAGTGCAGCAGAGCTCCCAGGTATCAGAGCGGGAAAGCCAGCCGCAGAGACAGAGCTGACAAGTGGGCTCTCAGCTCAGGGTTGCCATAAACCATAATGCACAGCACAGTCGAGCCACTACTCTTCCAGCAGAGACTCAACAAGCAGCAGATCAGGGGAGATTCCCCTTCCTCCCTGGGAGGAGCCATGTGAGAATCCACCGGAGGGATGTGCTGGGTTTGGAGACTCCACACGGGGTCAGGTGCCAGAGATAGAAACACTCAGTCACAGGAGTGATTGACTGCTTTTCTCTGGGAGCTCACTGAGGAGTGGGGCCCAAGTTCTCAGATCCTCCAGGGTGGAGATTGGGAGGCCGCCATTTTCACTCTCATCCTCCAAAGCTGTATGGAAAGCTTGCAGGGAACAAAAGCTCTCAAGAGCAAAACCGAGCAGATTACTTAGCCTGGATCCAGCAGGGGCAGGGCAATTCCACCTCCAGCAAAGACATCTGACAACCACGGCAACAGGCCCCTCCCCCAAAAGATCAGCAAGAACAGCCAGCCAAGACCAAGTTTACCGATCAATGAGAATGGCAGAACTCCAGCACTAGGTGAATACTGCACTTAGAATTCATGGCTTTTTTCCCATGACTCTTTAGTCTTTCAAAGTTAATTTATTTTTTAACTTTCTTTTTCTTTTTTTTTTTTGAAGTTTTCTATTTTCCTTTTTCAACCAACATTTTATCGATCCCTTTTTTTAAAAATCCTTTTTATTTTTCATTTTTAGAGTCATATTCTATCCCTTCAGAGTACTTAACCTTATTTTTGAAATATATATTTAAGTTGCTCTCTCTTTAAAATTTTGGGATACAGTTTCCTCTCACAGATCAAAATACACCCTAAATCTCTAGTGTATGGCTTTATTCTAGTCTCCTGCCTGATCACATGCTCTCCCTTTTGTTTTTCTTTCTTTTTTTAAATACTCTTCTTTCTTTTTTCAACCAACTTCTTATCTTAACAATTCCTTTTATAAAATCTTTTATAATTTTCATCTTTACAGTCATATTCCATCCCTTCATTGTATTTACCCTTATTTTTGTACATATATAAGTTTTTCTTTCTTTAGAATTTTGGGAGGCACTTTCTTCTAACAGACCAAAATATGCCCAAATTCCAATGTGTGGCACTGATCTATGCACCAGCTAATCATAATTGATCATATTCTATTTTTTCTTTGTTTGTTTTTATCTTTTTCTTTTTCTTTTTTTTTTTTTTCTTTTTTCTTTCTTTCCCTTTCTTATGCCCCAGTTTCAGTTCTCTTCTGATTTGTTTAGTGTATATTTTTCTGGGGACATTGCTACCCTGTTAGCATATTGTTCTCTCATTCATCTATTCTCCTCTGGACAAAATGACAAGATGGAAAAAATCACCTCAAAAAAAAGAACAAGAGGCAGTACTGACTGCCAGGGACCTAATCAATACAGACATTGGTAACATGTCAGAACTAGAGTTCAGAATGATGATTTTAAAGATACTAGCCAGGCTAGAAAAAAGCATGGAAGTTATTAGAGAAACCCTTTCTGGAGAAATAAGAGAACTAAAATCTAAACAAGTCAAAATCAAAAAGACTATTAATGCGGTGCAATAAAAAATGGAGGCTCTAACTGCCAGGGAAAATGAGGCAGAAGAGAGAATCAGTGATACAGAAGACCAAATGATGGAAAATAAAGAAGCTGAGAAAAAGAGAGATAAACAACTACTGGATCAGGAGGGCAGAATTCAAGAGACAAGTGATACCATAAGACAAAACAATATTAGAATAATTGGGATCTAAGAAGGAGAAGGAGAGAGAGGGGCAGAAGGTATATCGAAGCAAATTATAGCAGAGAACTTCCCTAATTTGGGGAAGGAAACAGGCATCATAATCCAGGAGGCACAGAGAACCCTCCTTAAAAATCAATAAAAATAGGTCAACACCTCGACATCTAATGGTAAAACTTACGAGTCTCAGAGACAAAGAGAAAATCCTGAAAACAGCTCGGGAGAAGAGATCTGTAACCCACAAGGGTAGAAACATTAGATTGGCAACAGACTTATCCACAGAGACCTCGCAGGCCAGAAAGGACTGGCAGGATATATTCAGGGCACTAAATGAGAAAAATATGCAGCCAAGGATACTATATCCAGCTAGGCTGTCATTGAAAATAGAAGGAGAAATAAAAGTTTCCAGGACAAAGAAAAACTAAAGGAATTTGCAAACACGAAACCAGCCCTACAAGAAATATTGAAAGAGGTCCTCTAAGCAAAGAGAGAGCCTAAAAGCAACATAGACCAGAAAGGAACACAGACAATATACAGTAACAGTCACCTTACAGGTAATACAATGGCACTAAATTCATATCTTTCAACAGTTAGCCTGAATGTAAATGGGTTAAATGCCCAAATCAAAAGACACAAGCTATCAGATTGGGAAAAAAAACAAGACCCATCAATAGGCTGTCTGCAAGAGACTCATTTTAGATCCAAAGAAACCGCCAGATTGAAAGTGAGGGGGTGGAAAACAATTTACAATGCTAATGGACACCAAAAGAAAACTGGGGTGATAATCCTTATATCAGACAAATTAGATTTTAAACCAAAGACTATAACAAGAGATGAGGAAGGACACTATATCCTACTTAAAGGTTCTATCCAACAAGAAGATCTAACAATTGTAAATATCTATGCCCCTAATAAGGGAGCAGCCAATAACATAAGCCAATTAATAACAAAAGCAAAGAAACACATCAAAAACAATACAATAATAGTGGGGGACTTTAACACCCCCCTCACTGAAATATATCATCTAAGCAAAATATCAACAAGGAAATAAAGACTTTAAATGACACACTGGACCAAATGGACTTCACAGATATATTCAGAACATTCCATCCCAAAGCAACAGAATACACATTCTTCTCTAGTGTCCATGGAACATTCTCCAAAATAGATCCCATCCTAGGTCACAAATCAGGTCTCAACCAGTATCAAAAGACTGGGATCATTCCCTGCCTATTTTCAGACCACAATGCTTTGAAACTAGAACTCAATCACAAGAGGAAAGTTGGAAAGAACTCAAATACTGGAGGTTAAAGAGCATCCTCCTAAAGAATGAATGGGTCAACCAGGAAATTAAAGAAGAATTTTTAAAAATTCATGGAAACCAATGAAAATGAAAACACAACTATTCAAAATCTTTGGGATGCAGCAAAGGCAGTCCTAAGAGGAAAATATATAGCAATACAAGCCTTTCTCAAGAAACAAGAAAGGTCTCAAAT